GGCTTTACCACTTTCTCTACCTGTCTTTACATCATTGACCCACGCTCAACCCCTGTGCCTCTCACTTCCAGAGCAAGTGTTCAACAGGAGTGTACAGTGCTAACCCCTCTATGACTCTCCCAATGAGGGCACTGCCCTGCCCACATGGCAACATTTGCCGACACCAGAAACACGCAGCAACATAGGAACATTCGCCCGCAGATATGTCCCACATTGATGAATAGCACTAAGTGTTTCTGTGCTACATGTACTCGTCCTTTTCTTCATCAACTTGACCATTACCTACCAGTGAAGCGAGAACTGCCAGCAGTTTCTCCTTAAATGCTGTATCCCTGGAAGCATTCTGCTCAAGCATTTCTCTCATGATGATGATGTCTTGGCGGTGTTGTTCAGCTAACATTTCCATTGCCTCCCGGCGCTGTTCAAGCATAGCCTTGTGGAACTCATTCTGTCGTGCCAGAAACATTTCATCACTTCGAGCAATGGCATGTGCAAATTGCTCAGTTGCTGCTCGAATAATTGCCGCAAATGCTTCATTGATGTCCCTTGTAGTGTCATTACTTGTCAGTCTTCTCTTCTTTCTGCCGTTTGTCAGTCCTTCGCATCTGCCCTCGGATACTGCCTTTGTCATTCTCCGATGCCTACCGGATCCAGCTCTGAAACGTTTTCCCGTCACAGTACTACCACCCCTTCCTCCTTGCACCAATCCCTGCACACTTGGCGTTGCCTGGTCTGACTCTAATGCAGGCGCACCCATCTCTCGATGGGTATTTGACTCTGGCACCACCAAGCCGTCCATGTCAGAGCCGTCAAATATGCATGTTCTGCTTGACTGAGCCACACCGCTGACCGGAGTATTTGCCAACCGCAGTCCTTCGGCACAAATGCCACCACGAGAAGGCATGTTGTGCTGTCTGAGCCCAGCCATCAAATCCTGTCCTCTGGCTGCTAGATGGCTGGCATTCCATCCACTGTTAGACGGAATGATCTGGTGGTTTGAAGTGCATGCCACAAGCGGCATCCTGCCGATAGCCACCGATGGAGCTTCGCTCAACCCTGGAAGATCCATGTCTTGAACATTCTCTGGATCCCGAGTTTTTCTCTCCAAAGACGTGCCTTTTGCTGCCAGGTCTCCCTGTGGAGAAACCAACACAGCTGCATCCTGAGTTTCATTTCTCCCTGCCAGCTCCCCAGAATTGGAGCATCCTAAGGAAGATTTAAATCCGCCTTCTCCAATATCTGTAGTTTGTGAACCCGCTTCTTCCACCCTGGCCCTTGTGGACACCGTACCAATACACTCCGCTCTGGTTGTACCCCTGCCTACATCAATGTTGTCTGTGACATTGCCAGCCACAGCGTCAAACGTCTGGGAATGGCATGTTTGCCGTGATGTCTTCTGGCCAGTATATACCTCCTTGCAGAAGACGTGTGGATAGTCAGACTGATTTGCCGACAACCATATTTCATAAAATCTTGGCTTGTTGAGTATCTTCTTGTTCTCCAGAGTGCCATTGGGGTTTCCTGTCTCAGACTGAGACATGCTAGACCAGTATATCTGGTCAGATCATGACAGAACAAGACAAAGCCCAATCTTGCATCAGAAAGATTCCAAAGACCTGACCGTGGCATCTAACACTGTGGCACTCAGGGCCTCGCCACACCACTCTGGAAATGTGAAAAAGACAAAAATGTGGCGGGTGCATCTGGTCATGTTCTAGTGCGGAGTGCATTCTCATTTTGCACATTGCAAGAGTGGTGTGGCGATGCCCTCAATGTTTTTAGGAACTGTCACTTCTGCATACCATGGTCATACCACGGTTCAAACCAGGACAGGATAAGACCATTGTTCAAACCAGGACAGGATAGGACAATGTCTAATCTTTTATTGGAAAGTGTCAGACCTGATAGTCGCACTTACAGTGTGCCATCTATTCCTTCAGGAACCTTAATTGGTACATGCAGTTCCGTGAAAGAAGATCCGCAGAGGATGACACCATAGCTTCGTTTGTACATGCACGACAAGTGCAGACTGGCATAGAAGTATAAGCTCTTGGCATGCCTACGAGTGCACGCATGTAGGTATGTGTAACGAAGAGCGTGAAACTGGTAGGCAAATGCTCTACAATGAAAAGTTGGTTGCATAATGCACCTCCTTATGCGAAGACGACCGTCTTCGCCCAAATAGAACGAGCCGGTCATTATCGCTGTACCCGGACTGAGAGTTGCCCCATATGCATCTGTAATGACCGGGCGTTCTGTTCAGGTGAAGACAGTAGCAGAATACAGCACAGGGTTGCCAAGTGTGCCATCTGGCTAGGGGAGACTGACAGGAGGGAGGACATCGAAGTGTGCCCCCAGAGAAGGCCAACATGGACAGGGAATGTTAGCCAGGCTATAAAAAGAAGGGTGAAGACCATACTTGCGGCGCATCACGTGCACATCGTTGGTGCATTTGAAGACCGAAAAGCTTCATTGTTGTTTCATATTTCTGTGGATATCATGCTTTCGCTGCTTCGCAAAAGAACGAGCAAAATACCCACTTCAACCATGAAGGGCCTGAACTTACACAGGCATGCTTGAGCATGGCATAATGAAAGCATTCACGCTGCAGACACCCAGTCCCGGTCCCAGGGTCCCGACATCTTCAAGTGTTGACTGTATCTGGATTTGGCTTCTCAAGTGTGAACTCTTCTGTGAATGTTCACTGATGCGTGCGAGGTTGAGCTTGACGAGTACTTGGCTCATTTCAATAACCAATTATACTGTGGTATTCCAGTCACACTGGTGGTTCCACCGGTACTTGTCCCACTGGTGGTTCCGCCGGTACTTGTCCCACTGGTGGCCCCGCCGGTACTGTGGTATTCCAGTCACACTGGACTGTGGTATTCCATCCAAAGAAACGCAAACTTGGGGAGTGGTACTTCACACGTTGTCCTTGGGAGCAGATCAACGATAATGAACAGAGGAGCAGGAGGAGAAAAAGGAGGAGGAGGAGGAGGGGGGGAGGAGGAGGAGGAGGAGGAGGAGGCTGGTGACAAATTATTAAGTGAAACAACTAAAACAAAATAGGAGGGGAATAGCAGAACTGGTAAGGGCTGGAGGCTGTACCTGTCATGCAATGGGTGATGGACTCCTAAATGAAAACCATTGTACCCTGAGGAACCTATAGAGAGGGGCTGAGCGAGGTGTAGATAGTTATTTCTTCTCAATCTAACGGATTCACTGACGTAATAGACATATTCCAAAGAGTTCAACTATAACGATTCGCATGATGCAGAAGTTCAAGCTACTCGAGACCCCCTGAAGAGTACAGCTAGGGGTCCCCGAGTTCTGATGTTAGCACAAAAGATTACAGGAGCATGATATAATTTCTCAAGGATTTTCATGTCCAAGCGCCCCAGTTTGGGTCCTCATTCTTCTCAAGCAATCTTGGAGCATTAGGTCGTTCTCCTATTATCCAGCCGTAAGCCTCGGGCCATTCTGACATTTTAACAACCAACATGAGTTTCAAGCAATTACTCCCAAGGCACCAAGGCTTGGGTCTCATCCGGTAAGGATCGATAACCCCCAAGACATTGTGTTTTGCGGTTTTACCCGAAAGCACTCCACTAAGATTTTTTGTCCCACGGAGCAAAATGACTCTAAGGCTCTACAGAAGGTCAGAAGTAGCTTCAGGAGTAGACGAGTACGGATAGGAGACCGAGAGAAATGGCATTAGTGGCACTACCGTCTTCGCCCAAGTAGAATGCCCAGTAATTATCGCTGTATCTGGGCTGAAAGTTGTGCCAAATACCGCAATAATTACCGGGTGTTCTATTCGGGTGAAGACGGTAGGCTAACTTAGGCAGGGGTGAGGGGAGGTATATCCTTCCAGTCTGAGACGGGAAGTAATCAATGCTGTCCACTCGGGTTTCCCAACCATAATGGGGAGAAGCGTTTTGAGTGCGTTGTAATCTGTATTGTTGATTTGCGGGTGGACTAGGAACTGGACTGTCGCCCCTGAGAATGGACAAGGAGCCAGAGCCATAAGGCTCTGTTATTATATAATAAAAGAAAAGAAGATTTTTTGTCCCACGGCCCTGCTTTTCTACTACAGAGAGACCTGCCTTTGGACTTCAGTCAGAAGAGGAAAACGTCCACAGAGTTCATCGGACTGTCTTCCCCCTGCCCCCTCTTTACCCCTCCTCTGCCTACATGAGGGATTTCATCTGCCACAGGAATAGCTGGGGAAAATACTGGGAATTATGGGGCTACTGCATTCCCTACAACAGAAGGTGGGGCCATCATATCTGGCCTGAAAACTACATAGATACTAGCCTCAGCTACAGTAGCGCTATGTTTTCTATGTGGAGGAAGACAGCAGGTCCACATTTCATGGTAAGGTGATTTCTCAGAACTTGTGTGTCAGGGGCTTTCCCATGAAAATAGTCTCCTGTAAGGCTGTAAGTATCGTGCACCTATTTTTAGCCACCTGTTCGTTTTTTCCTTTTTCAGACAGCGCCTTTAGGTCCTGGGTCCGTCCTATTCTGGAAACAGCTGTCCCGTTGCTTTTCCACCATCAGGTCGCACGACTAGGCAGATTACATGAATACTGACTCCACACTTCTCCTCATTATGGCCAGAGCAACCTCCTGCCGCACTGATTACTCTCCACCTCCTCTTACTCTCACGTTCCCTTTCCAAAAACATACAAAGAAACAGAGCAGACTTAGTCCTCTCAACTTGTACCATTAAGCCCCCTGTTCGTTTTTGACACTTTTTGTCCTTTTTTAGACAGGGCCTTTAGGTAGGTCCTGCCTCCATTTCATTCTGGATTCTCAATTCCTCCTCCTCTCACACTCACTTTCCTTTTCCAAAAAACATACAAAAGAACAGAGCAGACTTGTTCCTCTCAATTTGTACTGAAGAACAAGACGGCTTTGATGTACCAGGTGAGCGAGAGGAACAGGGGTTGAGCAGGAGGGGTAAATCCTTGCTCCTCAGGAAGCAATCAATGCCACTGTCTCAGGGCTCGTTGGCCATAACGGAGGACAGAGTGAAGTGTGTAAAGTTGTAATCTATAGAAGGTATGCTGAACCCAATTTTCAGCAAACGATGAAACCTGTTTCTTTTTAGGGGATAAAGAAAAAGACCGCTCCTTTGTTGTTTGTTTGATCCAACTCCTCTCAGCCTCTGGTGACACAAGCTCCTCCTGATATATCCTTCTAACCTGGAGCTGGATTTTGTTTTTAAAAGGGCGACGGCCTCGAGGTATCATCATTGAATTGACCGGGCCCAGGTTATTGCACGCAACTGATCACATCAGGAGGATTTGAACTCTGGTCTGCATATCAACAGTTCATCAGTGTACCATTCAGCCACATGGGCTGGGTGGAGCTGGATTTTCTGTGATTTCCTGAATGGGAAATTCTTTCGCCATGACCGCTTGATTTCTCATTCATTCCTGTTCCTCGCCCCCCAGCTAATTGCCCTGATGTGTGCTTAACAGTCTCATACGCTATCCACGTTGAGACTTGGCTCGCTTTCCTTGCTGTGTACAGTTCTGATTGCTGATTTTCTGCCCCTGAAAATCTTTCTGTCCACAGCCTAAAGATGATCGTGTTTTGTTTTATCTTTGCCACTTTGCTCTTAGCCAGAAAGTTTTTTGTCTGAAACCCCTGTCAAATTTCCAAGGGTCGCTCTGTTTTTTTTTTGCCGTTAATTGCTTAGAATTTCTCTAGTTCATCCACACCTCTGTCTCCACTTGCATCTGAACTACTACCGTCTTCACCCGAATAGAACGCCCGGTAATTATGGCCGTATCTGGACTGAAAGCTGCGTCAATACAGTTATACTGACCAGGCATTCTATTCGGGTGAAGACGGTAGTAGGGTCCATGCTTCCTGCATTGAGATCATCCTTTTATGTATTGCTTCCTGACATCTCTTTTTGTTTCCATGTCACCCACAATGCATCTTTGTCTAGCTGTGGAAGATGTTTTCCTCAAACCAAGAACCAAAGCTGTGGACTGATGAGGCCAGTTAGAACTTAGAAGAAGTATATCGTTACATAATACGTATGCTGATCCAGTCTTTTGGTCATCAACAACGTGGCATTAGGGGCTTTCTGGCTTAGGTCAGTCCTATGGACCCCGTCACGAAGCGAAGCGCCTTCTCCTCTTCCAAGAGACGCATCTTGTTGTTTCTTTGGTGGAACAACGCTGCCAAAAGTGGGGTCATCGGTCAGGTGGCATGGTCTCCTATTTCCCAAGTGCAAGAGCTATCCTAGACCCAGCCAGCCAATTGGTAGCCCTGTCACAGCTTCTTTTTGACCCACAGGCCGTTCGGAGACCCCAAGCGCTTGAACAGCTGCGTAGACTTGCTCCAGAAGTCCCGACCAGTATCCACCCATTACCATTGCAGGATGACAAATATTGGCCCCAGCCTAGTAACCCCCCTCACAGCGTCTTTGATGATCGAGGGCTGAGCCAAGGAAGGATATTGAAAATGGTCCACTATGGGTAACAAGCTGCTGGTGCTGGATAAGACAGCTCCTACGAGATGTGGGGAAATAACGAGGCAGCCGTTAGTTGGGAATAGGCTCAACACTAATAAAAATAGCTAGACCTTTCTTTTTTTTACATTTAAAAGTAATAAAAACTAAGCTATATTCTTCTCTCAATTTCACCTTTCACTATCTACCTACAACTACTCCTAAGCCTATACAGGGGACCCCTGCAAGCATAGCTACCTCTCGCAATTAAGAGAATGCATGTTGCCCCCCGCCCTAATCGGCGGTGGTCAGGAAGTGGGGTGGGGCCGTCGGTGGGGGGAGCGGCTAACACAAAGACGGAGCATTTTGCCAGTAGTTGCACCTCCCATTTACTTCCCCTACCCCCCATCGAGTGGCAGCAGTGGCTATGACCAACACTCTCCCACACACCACACACAACCCACTCACGCTCACACTGACACCCCTGTTGGTCATAGACCCTACTAGTACCGATCAGGGGTATCAAGCGGACTATCACAGCTGGTTGTGGGTTTGAGCCCCATGATCGCCTGCAGCGCAGTTGGAGCCAGACCTTTCCAAGCTATGCTGCTTCCTGGAAGAGTCGGGTAAACAAGGGGGATGTTGAGAATAAAAGATATTTGGGCAAAGGACATGAAGGGAGGGGAAGGGAAAAAGGTGATGAGGAAAGCGCTGAGGTACTGCCACACAGTGAATGATGGTATGGATGAAATCGTCTCAGAAATTCCGCTTTGATGGCCTAAGGTACTAAACGAGGGTTCTATCTCTGAAACAGTTGACTGAATTAGAGCACAGGAACTGGCAGGTGGGGTGGGATTGGCACATGAAGTGAGACCAACAGGGTTGCTAGTGGAACCCGTCCAAATACTGGAGGGAGGAAGGTTGCTGAGGTGCTGCCTCCAGTGGATCACCAAGGATGACTCCGTACACGATCTGCTCCGTAGGCCTCAAGAATGATTTAGAAAGCAACAGAGAATTTGATTGCAGCAGAGTAACGCAAAGATTTTTAGTCACATCCCCCTTGGTGTTTGCAATCAATCGGGGACTTGGTCGCACGAGACGGATAGTGCAAAGTCAATGGGGTGGGATTGTTGAGAGTATGCAAAGATTTTTATTACTACGTTCGTTAATGCACCAAGCAGGGAACAGTGATCATCCATACACGCAATAGATTCCTGCGATTCCATCAACACGCTAAAACACACTCTGGATCAACCATAAAAAAAAGACAAGGACAAGACTCTAGTCAAGATATCATGTGCCTCGTCGTCCCAATGGATTTCAGCACTCTAACCCAAACACCACTCAGTTCCGTGCATCACACTCATGAGAGGTTGAGACAAAGATCCGCGCCACAGACTCGATGAATCTGACAGCAAGCACCTGCAGGAATTGGCAGAAAAGGTCCTGGTGCGAGTCCGCCCTGAACTCCAGCATAGCTGGCATAGTTGAGGGAGGGGTGCCCCCCTACCCCACAACTGGACATAACAGACGGATTCAGACTCAGGTCAGTATTGAACAGTTTGTGGGTGCAAACGGTCCTGGTGTGAGTCTGTCCTGAACTTCACCAACGGTAATATGGTTGGGGGAGGGGTGCGATGGGGAGGGGGGGCGGGACGTAGGCCGGCCCCCCCCCCCCACCCACCCACCCAGCTGGACATAGCAGACAGATCCGAACTCAGATCCGTATTTCGGCAGTTCATGGGGGTACT